TCGGGAATATGGTTTCGTTGAAAATATGTAAATCGCGAGCAGGACGGTACGGATTTCGGGCTCTCGCGCGGCAAACAAATTTCTCCCCGTTATTCGCCGCAATCTTTACGCACACGCAATCCACTTGATAAACACGTACATACGTACGTACGTCGACGGTCCGTTATATACTTCTAAAGTAACAGTTACAAGTGCGCTGAACGGCGCGCGCGGGAGGCAAAACACCTTGCTTCGATCCAAATGGGTTCCATGGAAACGACGTTTCCGGTTCACATTCGGTTTTCTATCCGTGGTGACCGCTATTACGTGTCTGATTAGAAACTTAGTGACGCGCGAATGCCGCTAGCAATTTTCGACTTTTTCAAGGCATTCCGATTTTCTTCTCGAACGAAAATCGATAAATGTGGACATTTTGATACGCGGATCCACCAAAAACCTGAGAAATAATAGAGAAAAATGTATAATTATGTTTATGACATGGTAACTCTAGACACATTTCTGTGTCATCGCAAATTTGAAATAAACATTTCGAAATGGAAAATAGTTCAATTTCCCTCTATTAAGAATTCGTATATTTATATCATTACATTTTTATATTTTCAAAAGTTTAATTAAAACATTTTTAACTAGATAACATTGCGATAATTTTGTTATATAAATAAATTTTATGATTCGATTTAAAGAATTATTTAACTAAATTAATATATATTTGCCAATAAATATTTGCATTTCTAACAAACGTTTAATTTAAAAGTTAGAAACTCTTAAATTTGCTGCCAAGTATCTTTTTTACATAAATTTCATTTAATCCAAATATATTGGAAGCGTTAAAATTTATTAATTATTTTTATTCTAAACAAATTTAAGAGATTGGCATTAAAATATAAAATTAATAATAATAATAGATTGCAACAAATTTTTACTTCGGTTGCAACAATACGGCTACGTCAGCGTCTGCGGTAAGCTTTTGTATCCGAGAAAATACTGACCTACAGAAGACAAACTATTTCCGAAAGTTCGCAAGCACACGCTGACGTTCGATTCGTGTGCAAGAAGCGGTCGTACCGTAGGAAATTAATATATCTGGTACACAGTCGCGTTCTCCTGCCGAGGAGGGAAAAGATCGACGACCCCGAGGAACATATCTAGGTTAGTAGTCGTCGGCGATTCACGCGGAAACTTCTTTCGCTAGGCGTAGGACCGCTGCTGGCTGGCTCGCTATCGTGAAAATCGCATCGAGAGGTGAATCGCATGCGTTGTTCCATCGAAAAGTGAAATTCAGCCATATGTCGCGTATGTCCACATGCCGAAATTTCGTCACACATCAGAGGAGGTCAACGGCATGATATTCGCCAGTTGTAATCTCAATTTGACACGTGGAGCTCTCAAATCTTTCTCTTTATTTATTAGGGTTGCACAAGACCCAAGACGAGACAATATTCGTAAGAATATTGTGTATTGGTATTGAAAATTTTCAAAAATTTAAATCTTGTCTTGGCCTTGAGTGAATATTGGTAGCAAAAATCTCGTCTTGTATTGTCTTGTCTCGATTTTATTAATAATTTTTTATCTAATATTACAAAATTATTTGAATAATATTTAACATAATTTTTTTAATATAATTTGAAATAATTATTACTATTGTATTATATTTTAATTATAATAATTATTATGCAATCAATATAAATGCCGTCTATTTACATAAAAAAACATTTACTGTTTCATGGAAAACAGAAATTAATAACTATTTACAGGCTCCAAGGGAATGTGCAGATATAAATATTTTGGAGTGGTAAAAAAATTAGGTTTATATTTATCCCATATTGTCAAAAATGGCTCGAAACATTTTAAGAATGAAAATGCTCTTTAATATCTAAAATTTGCGAGTTTGATTTCTAATTTATAAAAATGTTATATTGTATTAATATTAAATGTTTTTAAATTTATTAATATAAATGTTTTTATTGAATAAAATTTTTTTAAATTCGTATATAGTGATTTTTTTTCATTTACAAATATAAATATTTTAGTTTTTTTAAGAACCAATAATCTTGACAAGACTAATAATTTTGACAGTCTTCGTATTGTCTTGATAACTAATTAAAAATCTTGTCTTGATCTTGTCTTGAAATTCAAGACAAGACAAGACAATATCAAGACAAATCTTGATATCTCGTGCAACCCTATTATTTATTGCATTATTTGCAATAGCGGTCCTTTCCCTAGGGTTTATTTTCCTGCGCTCGTCAATTAATTAATTTTCCCGGTGAATCCGTAAGCAATGGATGATCGATATCGCCATAATTTAACGAGCAGTCGAATGTAAATTTTGTAATGGAAAGTCGGGATAATATGCATGAATAAAGCAAAAAAATCTTGCGCAAATGACACTTTACCGTATGCGCGATTTTGATAAAATTACGAATAAATCACGCACAATCCAATATTCCATTAGTATCGGAAACAGCACCAGGTGAATTATAGCGAATCAATATATTGTAATGCTAAATCGTTCTGCGGTAAATATATATTTTGTTACTCTTATTGCGTGTTGAAAACCTCTATTCTTTTTCGATATAAATTTATTTTATGGCTCATGAATATAGTATCCGTGCGAACAGTTATTACGAAACAAATATATATTACGCTATTCAAAATCTTATTATCGTGGATTTCGATAAGATTCTTGAAAGAGAGAAGGCTCTCTAAAAAATGTTTTAAAGAAAGATTATAATTTTTTTTGATTTTTATAATCTCGAATTGAATCTCGCAAATCAGAAAGTAAATTATTTAATTAGAGAAAATTTAGTTAAGAAAATTTAAATTATCTTGAGCAATGGAAAATTGTAATCTTATACAGGGTATTTCTAAAACTATGTCGGAGATTTTAAGGGCGTATTCTAAGGATTAAAATAAGAAAAAAAGTACATATAAACATGAGTCTAAAAATGCTTTTCCTGCGAATTATAGCCCTCTAAAGTTGAGGGAAAAAATCGAAAAATGTATTGTAACTCTCGGAGACTTTTTCATAGAACGTTAAAGTTTTGCACAGCGTAATAATTAATAATGAGTTTCATTTTTATGTGATTTTGACAATTTTTTTCCTCAACTTTAGAGGGCTATAACTCGGAGGAAAAGCATTTTTGAACCCATGTTTATATGAATTTTTTCTTATTTTAACCCCTAGAATACGCCCTTAAAATCGCCGACATCGTTTTAGAAATCCTGTATAAGTAGTAAATAAAGATTGCTTTGATAATTCTGATTTAAAAGTTGTAAATACGATGCGTCTACACCCTCAAAAATTCACGATAACTGCGACTTGTCTATTTTTCCAAATGAACAATTGAATTTCTCGAAACGCGAAAAGAGTCCTCGATGATTGCTCACGTAACCTTGTGCGGTGGAATCGAGACCGGTCTTTTGAATTAGGGTCCGAGAGTTTCGAGGGTTCGACGACCTTCCTTCTCGCGTTGTGATGTGTCGGCGGTCCCGTCGACTAATCTCGCAATGATTCGAAAAAGACTCGAGTTACGCGCGCGCGAGCGCGTGTCTCATATGTGGTGAACGGAGTGAACGGGGTTACCGATCTCGAATGGCCGTGACTCTGGGCCAGGGTCTGGGCCAGTTGGATTCCACATACTCGGTGATCGTGAAATCGACGCGCAAAAAACCGACCAAGAATTTATATGCCGCGAACATTATACTTATTGTCATCTCCATAGAATTCATTAATAAATTCTGACATTTCATGCGCATGATCTCGTGCAAACAACAGCTGCAATGGACCTATCGAATACTCTCTTTATCAATTAAATGAGACGTATTTCATTTTTGCAAAATGTTTTTTTTCCAATAATAGCTTGAAAACTATCAATATAATATAATTTTCAATATAAATTATATTATATGTTATATAATATATTATAATTTGCAATATAATATAATATAATTTTCTTTACGAATAAATTAATCGAAAACTTTTTAGATATACACATGTGTGTGTTGGTAGAATGTGTGTCAAAGTATTTAAATATAATGGTAAGTTCTCTATTAACTTGCGTTACGTGTTTGTGCATCGTACGCGAACGTCTCGCACCTTCCCCAAGTTGTGAATGAAAATAGATGGTTGGAGGGGCGAGCTCGAAGTAGTCGGGGAGGTTAAACGCACGTCCCCGTAAAGGGATTGCGAGAGGGCGGCAGACAAGGAGAAATGGTGCACAGAAAGGTTCGAACGATGCAGGGCAGAGGGATGTATCGAAAAAGAACATAAAAAAGACGAGATAAAAATAATGCGTTATGGGACCATGAGATACGATAAAAAAACAAGAGATATTTTTTTGAAAAAAAAGAAAAAAAAACACATAATTTTCGAATACGCAACTCTCTCGTCATTACCATAAAAACTGCGGAAAACGTAATAATGAAAAATAAATTGCAAGAGGCGCATACATAAAATATAATCAACCCCCTTCCATCGCAAAATTTAAATTATTATTGCTAAAAATTAATCGATTTTATTTCACATATCGAACATTCTTGCTTTATTTTACTAAAACTTAAATTAAAGGGGATGAAATTGAAAAATATATAGCCCCGTATTACGTATATTTTCGAACTTCAAATTTCCTAGTTCATCACCAACTTTCGCTGGAGCTCCCTTTCGGTACGGATGGCGTTTTAAAATGACAACACGACAAGTTATCGTATGTAAGAATTAAACTTGAGGAAATGATCGGCGCATGTCTTCTATCATCATCGACAACAACGAGGGACGGGCAAACAAGCACTGCGTCGACGGAGAGAAAGGGAGAAAGCGGCGCATAAAACAGGGGTAGGTTGCACGCGCGTCGAAGCGGGCGGCCTGAAAGGGGTAACGGGAGACCACGGAGAGACGAGGAGGGTGAAACGCGATAAATGGCAAGACGAGGACGCGAGAGGGAAATGCACGAGAGAAAAAGAACCGACCGGGGGGGGGGGGAAAGGCGGCCGGCAGCGGGGAACGAAAAGGAACGAGCGGGGGGGGAGGGGGGATGGACCGGGAATGATAGACCGGGGATATAAAAGTGGTGTACGATAAAGCGAGACGCACGGAGGGAGGAACGGGAGGAGGATTCGGGGTGGCGAGGAAGGGCGAGGGCCGAGGGAGAGGAGGAGGGAGAGGGAGGGGGAGGAAACCTCTGGCAACGGGTCGATCGAAAGCGCAGCGCGGAGAAATGCACCACCTCTGGCTCTGGTCTGGCAGCTTTGCGGGCGCACCACCACGTCCGCGTGCGTCAGAAAGAGAGAAAGAGAACCGAGAGCGCGAGAGAGGGAGAGACGGCGAGCGAGCGAGCGAGAGAGAGAGAGAGAGAGAGGGGTACCGACGGAAGCGGAAGGGAGACCGACGTATATCCGCCGACCAATACCGACGCGAAGGGGAGGAGGACGGGAGGAGAGTCAAGCCGAGTCGCGTTGGGCTAGGTCAGGTCTACCCGAGTTCCACACACACCGCGCTCTCTTGCGTGTGTCATCCCGCCGAGGAGAACTACACCGAGGCGGAGGCGCAACCCCTATACGCGAAAAGAGGGTCGCCGCGAATTTGTCGCCGAGCCCCGCGAGTGGCTTCGCCGAAAAAAAAAAAAACGTTGGCGATTTTTCGAAAGGAGGAATCGGCAGGTATCCTACGGTATCGTCGCCGATCGGTGCCGAGGAGTGTGATTGTTCGCGAAAGCCGGCAACAGTGCGCGCGTTGTCGGACGACGCTTCGAGGGGGATGACACGAGGGAGATGCCTCGATCGGCAGTGTGAATAATCACGAGTGTGTGCACGCGTGTGCCAGCGATCCAAGATCGATCGATCGGTGGAGAGGAGAGGAATATAAGGGAGGACGCGTCTCTCTCGGGCGAGATTCGGTTGTTGACAACGAACTGAGGGCAGAGACGATTTCGACAAGGAAACCGATCTACCAACCGAATCCGAGGATCGATCGCGTTTTTTCCCCGATGTCCTGATAATCGATAAGCGTCGTCGCCGCGTAGGTGGCCGCGTAGGGACCGCCTAGTTAAGCGAAAAGTCGGGACAGCGATCGGCCTTATCGACGTCATTTCTCGCCCTCGCCCTTCGTGCGATCCTCGCTGCGATATCAGATCGGGCGAGATAAATGTTGAGGATAAACGGCGCCCTGCGTCGCCCGCCAGCGCGAGGCCAAGTGGATCGGCTCCCGAATGCGACCGGCGAGATGCCGGTCTCTCTGAGAAACCACAGAATAACATAAAGGGCGGCCCGCGATGGTTTAGAGACTTTTGCAGCGCGCACGCACGGTCGCGCAACAAAAGGCGAAAGGATCGCGACAGAAGAGATATCCTCGGGGTGATTCAGGCTGGTGAACCTAGCTACCTATCTGCACCTCGAGGAATAACCCCGTTGCCGTTGTGGATATTGTCTAGACATCCGATGCTCTGAATAGAAGCCGCGAATATCCGGAATATCGAAATATATCACGCGGTTAGTATCGAATATGTGGAAAGATTATATGAAGAAAACTATAATTTTATTAAGTTAGAATGCCATCGCTTTTAATCGTGTTTTACTTTAGCCAAAGTAAAAAATAGTACGCTTTTTCTTTCATTATGTTAGAATTTAAAATCATGGAAAATACGGAGGATGTGCGTATGTGAAGATAATGTTTGCTGTTTTAAAATTAATGATAATGAGATAAAAAGATTCTGTATATATGATTCTTTGAAAATTTGATTATTCGAAAATTTGAAGCAATGAAAAAATAACTTCTCTCTGTAATGCCAATTATTGTAAATACTTTATGAGATATTTCGAATTGAAGTGGAAAAAGGAGAGATAGAAAATCACTATCAAAAATATCACTTTTATTAAAAATCAATTATATGTGTGCAACCTATAAAAGATTAAAAGTTCGTAACGCAACCAGGGCCAAAATATCCTATGTGCCTTTTCGCCAGAAATCGATTCTGTCGCGGCTGCAATTTTTTGAATGCAAATTTGTCAAGTGTGCGTACAATGCACTATATATCAATCTTTATATTTTGGACCTGCTGTTTAGAAATTTACTGCCAAATGAAAGGCTTACAAGAGTTTAAAAGGGCTTTATTATAATGATTTGCAATTAAAACCCAATAAATTAGTGTATGCCGGCAAATTTGAAAATAAATTAAAACAACTGATTGAACTGATCTCACAATCAGTTGATTCCATTATGAGACAATAATTTTTTAATCAAAAGAAGGATGATAAATATATAAATAATTAAAAACTTAAAACTTGTAATTAAAAATTAAATAATTTATAATTAATTTAACTAAATAAGTATCATATGAAATACGGAAGTAACATTATGGTAAAGAAATGTTTTTCTTTCAGGCAAACTATGCTACGCAATACCTGTATTTTCAATTCTTTGAGACTAGAAAGAAGAAAAAAAGCTTTCTCAAAAAAATCATAAAAGTATCAATTTCACATAACAAATCAAATTTTCAAAAATTGCAAGAAGGAAGTAAATTAAAATTCCTAAAGTTACCCAGCAAAATCGAGAAAGCTTTTTAAGAATCTTTAAAAAATTTAATTAGAATATTTTAATTTACAAAAAGTCGCAGGGAGAGAAATAGAAAAAAATTATTAAAAAATTATATTTGTCTAAAAATTATAAAACTTGTAGAACATAAAATTATATGAATTATATTTCGGAAGGAAAATTAATTTCTCTCTCTCTCTCTCTCTCTCTCTCTCTCTCTCTCTCTCTCTCTCTCTCTTCGAAATTGTGATATTTATTTTGTTAAAAATCTGTTTGTTGAATTTTCAAAAAACGCGATAAAACGCTTTTGGTTGGAAAATCACGTTGAAAGTACATGCGAGCGAGTGGTTTGCGACAGTGCGCGATTTTCATGGAAATCGAAATCCATCGGGTAGCGAAAACCCCCGGCGGGTGGTAGCGGATGGGGAGGACTTCAGAGTTTATGCCCCCGCGCCCTTCCTTCTCTTCTCTCCCTCCCTCTTACCCCTGCAGTCGATCAATGCGTGGACGGGTTTCACTTTCGCGGTGTTAAAGTGTTGCACCACCGTAAATTGGAGAATCAACGAGAAAACCAAATCGCGAACGGCGATTTATTCAATTCGATCACGATTTTATGCACAGACGATTATTTGATATTCGTGGGAAAAATTCTTGAGAATAATTTAATGTTCTAAAAATCACTATACACGTGGATGCAATTGTTATTTATTTCCAGTTTGCACGATCATTGATTAAATTGTCTTTCGAAATTTCTAAAATAATATAAGATTTCAGTCAAAAGCATTGAGCGAAAAATCCAGAAGCCACGACTATTTTCACGTGTTGGCTATTTATTTACATGCATATCGATCCAGTCAGTTCTGGATAGTCCGATTCGAGCACATTACAAATTCATAATTTCCTGAAGTTTCAATAAATATGTGTAACAAAAAATAGAAATGTAACGCTGGGGCTTTTAATTATTCCTTCGACAATAATTGCGATTAAGATTCGCGAGACGCCTGAACTTAACCGAGCGTTTGCTTGATAAAAATAAAAAAACGTAAACCTATAAAAAAAACGGTATGGGTAAAAAATAGTAAAGCATCAATGACGAGACTTCGATTATTCATTCGAGCGCTATTGAACGGACAAGAATGAAGCATACAGTTGACGATCTTCCTAAGGATTGTTAGCAAACGGATAATTTCAAATTCTATGAATGAAAAATAATGCGACAGTAATGTATTATATATAATATTACAAACGATACTTGCAAAAAAATCACAAAGATTTTTAATCACATAATCTGTTAAAAAAGATATCTAATTTATCGTCTGTTTGAATGCATCTTTCAAGACTGCTACAATAATACATTGCTCTCTATCAGTTAAAATTATTAAAGATCTAATTATGGAAAAGTATCCAATAATATCTAAAAGTATCTAATTATGGAATTATATAAAATAAATTTAAATTTAAAATTAAAATATTTTGCAGCTTTTTCGCCAATACTGATAAAATTTTCATTGAAAATATTTTACGATAAAAATATATATACACTATGAGTTTAAATAAAATTACTTCGTAAAAATTACATCTCGTAAAATAATTTATTATTCGAATTTAAACGTTTTTACACATATTACGAAATGTATTAATTAATTCATATGAAAATAAGCTGAAGAGATATATAAATTTGAACAAATTTAGTAAATTAAGAAATAATATTTTCGCAAAATCTTTTCAATATTGAATGCAATTAAAAATGTTCGATTCAATTTTCAGCGAAGAATGGAGGCCAGCGAGTGGGATCATACGACCTTGAGGGAGGAAGAATTCGAGCAACACGCCGTATATTTGGTACCGGATGTGGCGACATCGCCGAACGATACCAATCGTGCGGAAGCATCTTTGCCGCGGAATCTGATCCTCAAGCAATCTCAAGCTCCCAATGTACGTTCTTTTATAATATAATATAATTATAAAAATATCTTATTTCAAAATCTCCTCGAGAATTATAAATTTAACTGCGAGCATTTAATTGCGCGAATTGTGTCCATTTATCATTTATTAATTTTTTCCAACTGAGCTCGCTTAAAGTTTTGCAAGAAAAGTGATGAATTCTGAGAAAAATTGCAATCTCTTAAAGTGTAACGTTAAGCCATATAGAGATACAGAAACTGTAGAATTTAAACAGATGTTATATTGTATAATTTTCAATATTACATGTATAATATATGCAAAACCACACGATACACAATCAAATTATTCTTCATATTGCATCTTTCATAACGTAAACTTAAATATCTATTAATAAAAATTTACTGATAATTAATAATTTTTATTCTCTCTTTTGTTCGTTAAAGTTTTTATTAACATCATTTTTCATCATCAGTCTATATATATGTTTTCAATTACAATTCTCATGTAACATAACTTTGATTTCAGTTATTTCTCGTTCTTTTTTTTTTAACTATTTCATTTTTATTAATTATTTTTAATTTTATTTTGTTCAACATTTCTCATTTATAATTTCTTCGTTAAAAAAGATGAACGATACACTCAGGTTTATGAAAACGACGAAAGGATACAATTTTTAGATATCACGATATAGAAAATACGAATACGTGAAAAGTTGGCTCGATGATATGAAATTAAATTTGACCGAGTGACGAAATTAATTAATTTACGAGACATGACTAGGAGACGAAATCGAATTGTTACACTTTTCTCAAGGCGGAAAACGGGAGACGCGATTCTATATCGAACGCGAGACTCACTCGAAATTCTTTCTCTCTTTTTCTCTCTCTATAACGCTTACAAAATTTCAAATTTCTCTACGAAAGAATCGAAACATTCCGAGCTGAATTGCACAACGATGTAATATATAGATTCGCGTCGGCTAATCGACATTCGAGCTTTCGTTTGTCAAAAAAGAAACAGAAGCATCGGAAACGCGCGCCGAATTGAAAGCACCGAAGAGTTAAATTAGTTTTGGACGAATATACGTTTCTATGCAATAGGTTGGATTCTATTCTAACGTGAATCGGAATGAAAATAGGTTCTATCTTCTACCGCGTATTTTAACAATGTTGATAAAGAATGAGCGATGAGAATATCGAAGGGAGCAAACAATGCTTTTACCAATCACCCATCATTTATACGTTTTGGTATAGCTTTTGCCATCAAATGAACTTTCCGAATAGAATTTAAATTTTATATATAGAAAAAATTTTGCAATTTCTCGGAAATCTTTAAATCACAACCAGTAGAGGAATTGCAAAAGTAATCTATAATTTTGAATACCAGACATATATATATATATATGTATAAATATTTAAAATAAGAGATGAAAATTTGAAAATAGACTAGAAATATACATTATCTTTTATTTCCTATCGGATCGATTAATCAACATTTATTTATGTGGCAGGTGTTGGGCGTATGGAGTACCAGTTACATCCCTAAAGGGACACGTTTCGGCCCATTGGTCGGTGAAGTATACACGAATGAGTCGGTGCCAGCAGACGCGAACCGAAAATATTTCTGGCGGGTAAGAACTTAATTGTATATTTGCTGTTTAATTAAATCTTCCGGTTTACGATTATACAACAAGTAATTTTTCTCCAAAGTACTAATTAACGTAAAATAATTGCGATACATTATTAAGAAAAAACATGGAAAAATATAGAGAAAAGACGCCAGCAGAGATCAGAAATTGATTTTAAATCTAATGAACCTTAAAGTGCGAGTAATTGTTGAGTCTCTAATTTATCAATTTTATATATAATTAACTAGTTTTTCTATAATTTCCGCGCAAAATACATGATACATGTAAATCGAAATGACAAACACGAATATAAAATAGCGTCTTTTCAAACTATTTTCTTATCGTAATATAAAAATATGTACAAATCTATCATAAAAAAATATAAAATAATTAAAATTATTATAAATATAAAATAATTAAAAATTTATTAATAGATAACATTTTTTCAACAGATAATCCCAGAATTGATCAAGTAGCATAATGTTCTTGATAATGGTTAAGAAAATATAATTAAAGATTGTTGACACCAAAATAATTTTTTGCATAATTATAATGATATAATAGACAATCGCTAGTCATAGAACCTCCAATTACAGCAATTACAAAAATTACCAACATCTTAAAAAACTAACTAATTTTTATAATGACTAGGAGAGAGAGAGAGAGAGATACACACTTATAAATTATTACATATATTTATAATTCAGAAAAATCAACCGAAATATAATGATATTCTGTTGGGATCATTTTAAAAATATATTTTAATCGTCGTAAAATAGAAAGATTTTCGCATTGTCAGGTGTATAAGAACAACGAGCTGTTTTACTACATCGATGGTTATGATGTCCAAAAATCGAATTGGATGCGTTACGTGAATCCCGCCTACTCGTCCGAATCGCAAAACCTAATAGCATGCCAGTATAAGGTAATATAATTTTGTGGAATGCATCTCGCGCGAGGGGACATTTATTTCGAGCCTCATCTAAATTATAAACAAGAGGACACTGTGACATCGTTGCAATCTTACTCTTTCATATTTCAGATGAACATTTATTTTTACACAATTAAGCCGATTTTACCGAATCAAGAATTATTGGTTTGGTACTGCAGAGAATTCGCGGAAAGACTCAATTATCCGTTCAATGGCGAGCTAATGCTTCAAAGAATACGTAAGTAAATCCTCATTTTGAATTTTAATATATAATCGAGTTTTCCCATATTAATTATTAATCTTATCGAACAACTTCCTCTCTTATGTTACTTTTTTACTATCTTACATTGAAACGAAAAAATCTTCAATATTACGCAGGCACATTATGTATCACAACATAACTGGCAGCATTGACTTTTCATGTAATTGTATTAAACTTTTTCAAATTTTACTTATTAAACTTTTTCATACATAATATTTACGTTTAAGGTTTAGAGAGGTACCTGGAATTAAATGGAAAGAATCCCGAAGAATAATTTCATGTAATTTGCGTTTTATTTCATGTAAAAGTGTTATGATTCATTTTTTAATGTAATACATTTGATTTACATTACGCACTATCTTATGCGTTCTTGGTTCTATAGCCTTAAGTGATTAACTAATTGATTTATATCCTATGAATCTCTCATTAGACAATTACTTATAATTTAATATTACGCAGGCATATTATGCATCACAAAATAGCTGGCAGCATTGACTTTTCATGTAATTATATTAAAGTTTTTATGATTTTTCATACATGATATTTACGTTTAATGTTTTTGGTATTGAGAAGGCCCTGGAATTAGGTCGAAACGTCTATTGACAGAAATTAATTTCATGTAATTTGCGTTTTATTTCATGTAAAAATGTTACGATACATTTTTTAATGTAATAAATTTCATTTGTTTTGCGCACTACCTTCTGTGTTCTTGGTTCTACAGCCTTACGTGATTAACTAATTGATTTATATCCTATGAACCTCTAATTACACGATTAATGAAAAAAATTTTTTTTCTTCCAAATCTCTTTCTAAATAAAAAAATACTGTAAGAAAGCAAAAAATATTGCACTACTAATTGTAAGATATTTCAGATGTTTCAGTCATGCAAAGCACTATATACATATAGTATATTATACTAGTAGAGAGAAAAAGAGAGAGAGAGAGTTGATACTGTCTCACCATTTCAATATAACGTTGAATAAATATAAACGTGGATAGATTTGATTCAATTTGTTTTCATAAAAAAAAGAGTGAAAATAAAAGCAATCTACAATAGAACACAAAGTATTATACAAACATGTTATACACATATTATTATACCAACTCCGTATCGAGTTTAAAACGGAAAAAAAATATCACGTTAAAACTGGCCGCTGACAATCACTTTTAAATAATAGAATAAATATGCAGAAATAAATTTTTATGAAATATATCATAAATCTTACGTTTAATTGTATTAATATTTATCTATTTTTCTTGGCGTTTCTTTTTAGCTTATTAAAGATTTATGTCACTCGTGGTCTCCGTCCATGGATTAGATAATATTTTTATGACAAAATTCAACAGTGATTACTCGTTGCAGATTCGCCATTCTATATGCCCTAAATAAACGCAATAATCTGGGAATATATACTAACACACATGTATATACATACACATGTTTATAAAATTTTCAATATTAAAATATAACGAGCATATAAAATATATGATTGAATTGTACGAATTATGCGTTATTGCAGTTACCTCTATTTGTATATTTTTTAAGATTAATCAATATGATATCAAGGAAAAAATAGTAGAATGATAAATAAAATGGATTACATAATAGATATACTATTATAACATGTTATTTACATTTTTCAAAAATTTACAAATATTATTTACTTATTTGAAGTATTTTAATTATTGTGGATATCACGTTAATTAATTTGATCATTATTCAACATGTTAAATATCTCTTAGGACAACATGTACAACAGTCAACCCTACCAGCAGAAATCTCACCTACTGTTGACGTGATGCCCTTAAAAGACTCGACGATTTACGAAAGACGTCAGATGACACCAACAGATGGTTCTGTGAGGTCAGATGAAGGTTATCATTCCAATGGCTATCACGATGAAATTTTGACGCCGCCTGAAGAGAGCAGCGAATCCGATAGTGAGAACAATTATGTGCTGGACTTTAGTAAGTCATCGGTGTGCGGCAATGAAATTTTGAAACAAGACAATACCGCAACGAAGAACGAATACAGGAAAGTCAAAATCAAGATATCCAAGACCTATGGCAACTTCCAGGCAACAAAAAACATAACCGACAGCCCGACGAAGGACAAAGACCAGGAACTGTCTAATAGAGCAGTTACCCCAGAACTTCAGAAACCGATCGCACCGATTTCGCCCATCATTCTGCAGAAGAGTACGATATTGTCAACTGTAAACGAAGACGAGATAGCTGAAAAGAAGCCCTTTTACGAACCGGAGGTCAAAAATAGCAACCTGTCTGCTTCTGGTAGATCTGCCTACCTGGTCAACCCACCCAGTAGTTCTATCCTGGAGAACATTTTACTGCGCAACAGTACGGATAACAATAACAATAACAGCCACGGTCACCATCATAATAGCGGTTCGCAACAACATCACCAACATCATCAGATGCATCATCAGACTCACGTAGACTCGGTGACACCGCCACCTTCCAGTCCCACCGAAATGGCGTATTCTTACAAAAAGTCTCATCGTTACAGCAACATTCTGCCCTGCAGTCCAGATTCCAGCTCGAACTTGCCCCTGCAAACGGATACGTGCGTTAATTCGACCAGCGGTAATGGCAGTGCGTTGCCCAGCATGCAGAGCCCCACCGGCAACATGCACTCTAGTACGGGAGGCCCGCATTCGAGCACCGGAGGAAGCAACGGTAGCCTGCCGATGCATCCCGGGAGCTTGCACTCCTCCAATAACGGTACCATTCATTCCAGTACCAACGTACTTTCATCTAATGCGATCCTGACGTCTACCAGCAACCTGCACTCGGCATCCACGACAATAAACGGTTGTCCGCCAAAGCGAAAGACCAAATCGCCATCACCGTCGTCGAATCAAAGCGGCATTTCTACCCCTACGACGATTCTTTATTCCGGCAACTCGGGCGCTACCGGCTCGGGAAGTTGCCAAATCGAATCTGCCAGTCCGGTCTATCCAAATTCTGCCGGCAATAGTAATAGCGGCAGCAGTAGTAATCAGAGCATCTCGCCAATCTCGCCGATCCAATCACCCTCGTCCTATGGGCCGTACGGTAATTTGTACGGCCATCAAAACGGCTCGCTACATCATAACGTGGAAGCGCCGTTGTCCATCAATTGCACCGCCTATTCGCCCACACCGAGCGGCAACGTCGGCGTTTATGAAAGGTCCACGGACGCCAGACGGTTGGAGGCGGCCACCAGCAGCAACGGCCACCAATTACCCACCTCGTCGACCATGCAAATTGACAGTAACCAAGCGTTAATCGCAGGAACGCATAATCTCCACTTGGGCCATCACCCAAGTCTCACTATTCACCCTAACTCTTCGTCGTTCCTAAATAGATATTCGCCGGCGAGTTCTTTATCACCCGACGATCACGGTTGTTCCCAGAGCGGCTCACTCAGTCCCAACTCCCAGGGCTCGAGGGGTTACAGATCGCTACCTTATCCGCTCAAGAAGAAGGATGGCAAGATGCATTATGAATGCAACGTCTGCTGCAAAACCTTCGGTCAGCTGTCGAATCTCAAGGTGCACCTCAGAACACATTCCGGCGAAAGACCCTTCAAGTGCAATGTCTGTACCAAGAGTTTCACGCAGCTCGCACACCTTCAAAAACATCATCTCGTACATACTGGTAAGCGTATCAATCCAATAGTTTCAAATAATTAAAATAATATGCGGACACATAATGACAAATTTTTTTTATATTAATTATATCAATATGTATATTTTATAAGATGTTTGCTTTTTCAGTCCGTAGCAAGTTTACTTGAATAAAAAACCTTATATTTGCTTTATTTAAATTACTTAGATTATTATTTAATATTTTATCTAAAGAAGAATATATATTCTGAAAAAATTATCTCAAAAAAAAATATATATATAGTCTATGAAAATGCATAACACAATAAAAAATAATAAACAATAAAAAAGTAAGAAAATATATTTCTTTAATTTCTGTGTTGCGCGTTTGTAAATTTTATATTTTATGTCTTATAGTATCTTTTAATGAATGTGTGTGTATATATATATATATATATATATATATATATATATATATATATATAGTTTTTCATATAAAAATAAAATTAGAGTAAATGTTAGAAAAATTGGAACAAAAACAAAAGTATAATAAAAACCTAAAAACTTAATTTTTACCCCCATTTTTGGAGAAATGTAATTCTACAGGCAGGGATGTAGGAGTATATGTTTTTATATGAAAAATCCCCCTTAATTGTCGACAAAGAATCATCTCCTAAAATTTTTCGCACTTATTAAGAAATATCCTGTATATATAAATTTTTCGAATTACATCAAATTTAATATGTGTTTGAATTCCGAATTCTTAAATTAAATATTTATTAATATAACAATCTAGAACTCGTATCTTATTATAATTTATATACAATACTTCCGTCTTGTGATACGACAGTACTTAATCCGTTTATTTTTAGGTGAAAAACCGCATCAATGCGAGATATGCAAGAAGAGATTCAGCTCGACCTCGAATCTGAAGACCCACCTTAGACTACACTCTGGCCAAAAGCCGTACGCCTGCGATCTTTGCCCCGCCAAGTTCACCCAGTTTGTCCATTTAAAATTGCACAAGAGGCTGCACACGAACGAGCGGCCCTATACCTGCCAGGGTTGCGATAAAAAGTACATTAGCGCGAGCGGTCTCAGGACTCACTGGAAGACAACAAGTTGCAGACCGAACAACATCGAGGATGAGCTTGCACTCGCCGCGGCCGTAGGTTCACCAACGTATTACGAATATGGTCCCGACATGAATGTTGGTAAGTAATTCTCGATTAAATACAGTTCATGTGAAATAATTAAATAATACCTTAACTAACTTCCTTATAAACTAAAGCATTCATTGTGATAAAAAAAATTCTTATCATAGTCGACAAATTTGTCAATGCAAAGATTGAATTATTAATCATTTCAAATGTTCAAGTTGAATATTAACTGAAATGATGACGTGAAAAAGATTCCAATTTATTTATCTTAATTTGCTCTCTATAAAAATATAATAGAAAAATCGTTCAATTGACTGATCAATAATTACCAATTTGATATCATTTTTTATCAAATATTATTTAAAATTTTGTTGTTAATATCAAGAGCAAGATTTAAGAAAATTTAAAAAAGGATAAATTTTCTGTTCGTTAAAATTATTCAATCGCACGAAAATAAAATAACGTAGTAGATAAGGGCGTTAAGATAACGCTAAACGCTATTATCCTCGTAGGAAATGTGCCCAAGGAATGCGAATTGGAGCATATCGATAATTACGACAGGCATGGATCAGCGCATGGTCCGCACTCCACGTCTCTCCACAATTTGGAAAATTCTGTGGGTCGACCAAGCGTTATAGAAACGTCCCAGCCGCATATTATCGAATGTACATAAGTCACATGATGGGGTATCAGCCCCTTTCTCGCTCCGGCGTAAAATGTAACCGTGGAAACGTAAGCGAATTGCTCGCGATCGACTAGAGGAGAGAATGGAAAAGAGAGCTCATCTTCTTTGGAATGGCAGCAAGTACAAAAAGTTTTCGTAAGTAATATCGAATGAAAAATTTTCGCAAATTCCTTTCTGATTTTGATAAAATGTGATAAAATAACTTTGACATATTTCTATTAATAATATTTTTATAGATTATAAAGAAATTATATTAGCCTCTAAAGTTTTACATTTTGGAAAAATAACATTTTTTTTCAAGATTTCGTGGCTTTAAATAATAATAAATAAATTATTACAAAGTTAAATAATAATTAAATTATTTTAAAAATAGTTTATTGATTTGTTGTTTAAGTTATATTGTTGTTTAATTTTTTTATCATTTTCATTATAATTGATTGAATTATTAATCATTTCAAATGTTAAAGTTGAATATTAACTGAAATGAAGTGAAAAAGATTCCAATTTATTTATCTTAATTTGCTCTCTATAAAAATATAATAGAAAAATCGTTTAATTGATTGATCAATAATTACCAATCTAATATAATTTTTTATCAAATATTATTTAAAATTTTGTTGTTAATATCAAGGGCAAGATTTAAGAAAATTTAAAAAAGGATAAATTTTCTATAAGGGAATTAACGATATTTTGGCTAGAGACGCATAAATTATCCTTATAAATGCATATACACATTTCTTCTATATTTTTACTAACATTATCAATAGAATTGATAATGAGAAGAAAAGAGTAGTTTAAAATTAAATTTAAATGATTGATTAATATACGATTGTAATGCTATTATTCCAAGAAAAGTGAGAAAGATTATAACATATGCATAATAAAATACCAAAGTCGCTCGATTTTCTACGAGAAATGTTCTCGATTACTTTTCCACGATGCATCTTAGGATCGCATGTCGAAGATAGTGATTATCCGAATAAAAAATTGTTTAATAAAATTTTTAAGATTTTCTATAAATTCAAATAAAAAAAAACTTTAATTTATATTTTATTTAGATTTATAAATATGATCAAAAAAAATTCATCTTTTTCTCATCTCATCTCATTGAATCATCAAAAATTTTAATATATTAACGTATAAACTTAGAAATAACATTTTTAAGATTCAAATCATATCTCTCATTCAAGAGCCATATAATCTGATTCAAAATTAAAATTTTAAAGAATAAAATAAAATTTAAAGAATTACTTTGTTAACTTAAAAAAAAATCTAACGCTCACTCTTCATTGAATACACAAAAAACATGTCAAGTAAATTTGAGTAAATTCGAGATATATAAAATATACAAACTATTGAATTTTCGTGATTTGTTCCAGAAAAAAATATATCAATGTTGTTGTTTCCATTATAAATAGAAAAAATAACGGCATCAATTCGTTTACACCAATTTATCTAAAAAATTTAATAGTAACGACATTACAAATATAATATAATGCATACAATATTTCCCAATCTTAGTAAGTCAATAATAAGAGAATAGAATCGATTCGTGAAATATTATCAGAAAATAATCGTCATGATATTTAAAAAAAAAATCAACGTTTATCTCTTACATATCGCATGAATAGTTTTTACAAAACGAAATGTCACGATATCTTCGGCATGCTAAGGTCGGTGTGTAAAATGGCGGATTTTGTCGGCACCCGTCATGAGATGTTCGCATAATGTGCAAGCAACAACAGCAAAGAGTAAGAAAAAGAATACGAACAACCAGAGACGACACGACTGCAACTATACGAGACCTGTACCTGTATATACTAATATTACTCTATTAATTATTCAATAATTTAAAAAAAGATAATATAAGAAGTTCTAATTTATGAATACCCATGTATATATAAGCATGCATGCGTGCGTGTATTTACGTATATATACATCCGTGTGTACACATGTATAAAGTATATAAACTTACATGTATACGCATGTGTGTATAGATGCGCGTGTGTGTGCATCGTTACCGGTTAGCGAACGGTAGACTGCGCTTTACTGTAACGTTCCGCGGTGCAAATTTGATTAAAAATAGAATAATTTATTGATGTGTATAAAAATGTTACGATCATCGACATGAATTTCTATTATACTCATTATTATCATACTCGTGACTTTCATACGATATTCATTTTTTTATCGATTGATGTGTATCATTTTCTCTTTTTTCTTAGATGCTCTTCTTTTTTAAATTTCTCCAAACGAGAGATTTTACATTTATGATAATGTGTTAATATTTATCGAAATTTCGTTGAATTTTCTTGTTAAGATAACGATAATGAGATCTCTTTTTTTTCGGATGTCAATTGCAGAGTAGAGCGATAAAGATAATCATACATCGAATCATGTACTGAAATTTTTTATCTTCCTATTGTATGTTATTGTTAACATTGTTATTTATTCTTCGATATATATTTCTAATATCGTTATTCAATTAACTTTCATACTCGAGTGTGTTTCTACTACAGCTTTTTTAGATTAATTCTTTCTTCTCAGACACATGCAATGTTTATATATTGATTAGAAAAGAACATCGTATAAATTTTTAATTGTCTAAAAAAATTTTTTTGTTTCAGTAAAAATGTTCTTCGATAAAAAATATATATATTTATAGTTTTTCAATTGATTAAAATCTAAATATGCAGACGGAATCGTTTGTGAAATCGAAAGTTGGTAGAAAATCTAGTCAAAACATTTTAACGAGAATTTAGCGCATGTTTATACAATATGTCCATCAAGTTCTATTTATTTTTTTAAGAATCTGACTAGGAGAAATAAATTGTCGATGAATGTATAAAAGTCATCTAAAGGTGTGATGGAAGGAAATTTCCAAGAAGCTTTCAAAGAAGCTTTTAAGATTCATCAACATTTTATTAATATATTAAAAATTGTGAACAAAATTTTGTTAACCTCCTGCTATTGTTAAAAAAATAATTTTGAAATTTTAATTTCAAAAAACAATTTTGATGGACATACTATATATTGTATATCACTTAAAAAGTTATATATTTCAAAATTGAATTAAATTTCCACGAAAACGATTTATCAAGAGATCATTTTGTGCGCATGAATAATCAATTTTTTGATTAGTATACGTTGTATTTGTTATATACAAGAGAAAAAGAAAAAATTAGAATTAACGAATATAATTGTCGAAGATCTATTGTTTCTTTTTTCATTGATTTTACATTCATTTGGCGAATTCGTACTTCCATTAATGATAAGCTGGGTGAAATTAGTTAACTCTGAGCGCAGCTTACCGTATATAATGCGAGACAAATCTTTTTTACCGAACGGCGGATTCATTCTGAGATTTGGTGAAAAATCCGAAGGACTTTTTAAAAGAGTAAAAATTTTAAATGCAGAATCGATGTTCCCGAAATGCCGTTCCGTAACGATATCGATCTAAAGGGCGTATCGCAGACTGATATATATATATGACTATCGAGCGTTTGTGAGATTCTAAAACATCGCGATACGATTCTGTGCGAAACGAGAGAATGAAGAGAGAAAGAAAATTTATGTACGTATGTATGTGTGATATAGAGAGTAAAAGCGATTTTCAAGATTATAGGAGTGCAGAGAATGTTAGGGAATGATTATTCTAAATTTTGGCTTCCTTCGCAAAATCCTCCGGAGCTTCAGTTTCGCAAAAATTTCCCTTCACATTCGAGATGCTATGTAATTGATTTAATTCAAACAAACTTGTTTCTAATTGATTCTTTCATTTTTCGAAACATGGCGAAAAAACGCACAACGTCTCCTCTACTAAAATCGCTCGAAATTTTTGCGAAACTGATGATCTTTCTTTCTCCATTCCCGAATACCTATTATATTGTACTATCCATCATCTGTCTCTGCCCGGACAATGTCAAGTGCAAATCGAATGAAAAAATTCTCCTCGACAATTATATAAGTTTAACGAGCATTCGAACTCGATTCGCGAGACAAATGTAAGACGATGTATCGTATAAATCCACAGGGCCTCTTTACACTCTTATAATTTGCTAATATATCTTCTTTAATAATCAGGCAACGATTGTATGCGCGGGCTGTATGGGATATCGAATTCTATACAAGTGTAGCGGTTAATCTTCGCTCAAGATGTTGCCGTGATCAGGCTCCACGTACTCCTCAGAACCAGCGCGTTACGCACTTTTAGTATCCGTGTTGTGTGAGGAGTCTGCGCGCATGTTTCACGCCATGAAGAACAACACTGGGAAACACGAGCAATGCAAGATGAAAAAGGAAGACATAGCGACCTAGAAAAAAAAAAACATCTTGGAATTCATTATGCAATAAGGAGTGTTACAGCAATAATTTTTTTGATGATGATCGTGATTCCTAGTGATGTTTCTTATACAGCCCGAGTGTCATTCTGTACATTTTGCATCGATTTCCTACCTTGCCTGCATTTTGAAAGCACTATAAATGAATAACGAAATAAAGCAGAGGTAGAGGAGGAATTTAGGCGTTTTAGGATTTTGAATCACGAAAGCTAATAGAGCGAGAAAGGATGGGAGAGAGAAGTGCGTAGAGAGGCAAACGGAAGTAAAGACCATGTAAATACATATGCTGAAAGTAGTGAAATAACGAGAGAAATCGGACACGAGGGCTACTATCGCCTCGAGAACAAAACAAGCAATATTTAGTTATTATCATCTCGTAATAATTAAACGATAAAGCTCCAACTGTAGCGTGCACGTACGCGTGGACGCGCTCGTACATATTTAAACGCGACTATAAATTAAATGTTAATTATCCTTACACTTTGTGTATGTATGTATGTGTGTATATATATATATGTATATATATATATAATGTTTATGTATGTATGTATGTATATATATATGTATACAGTGAAATTGTTACGCATTTATTATCATTATTATTGAATAGGTAATGCTCAATTAGCATTTGTTTCTTAAAATAAAGAATAAATATATGGCTGTTGGATATTTATATGCACTATATCACTATCACATCTCCATACATTGTCGTAACCCAATATTATTTCTTGTTAATAGCCGAATATGTGAAGAAAACGAAATTATATTCGATTGTAATGATTACGAGAAAAAAAGAAACGATGGATATGACTTTGATACCACAGGATTGAAACCACAGGAGTGGAACCACAGGGCAATAGATTTCCAGTTTTTATTGTAAATTAATCTACAATCACCATATCCTGATCCGTCGCTGCTTACATTATTATTATAAATAATAAAATGCCACAGCAATGCTATTCGCGCATACATGTCGCTTATTATATCCACATATATGTATGTGCATACGTTCCATCGATTCGAATTTGTCCGATGCGAGCCCGAAATTTTCCAGAACTTCGTGCCATAAAATATTTGATTTGTTATATGATTCAAATTTTGCTAGTCCTTCGCCATAAAAATTGATACTGTTGGCAAATTGCAGTCACGCAAAACTACAATCGCCGAAAAAAAAAGGAAGGAAGCTGTCTAAATTGTTACATATAAATTTTGCACTTGATAATTGATCTCCCCTAGATGGAGATACAAGTAAGTCCTTTTTTCGATACACATATTGTGAGAGAATATAATATACACTTCTATAGTAATTAGAAAAATAATACGATTTCGCCCTGTTAATGGAAACAATTAACTATATGCGTAATGTACCACATGTGTGATTTATACGGGTATGGACATTCGAGTACGTTGTCAGTTAATCAATTCCCTGGAAACAATACGAGAAACGGGACTCACTTCACACCAGCTGTTGGAAATATATTGATTGATGCACTACTTTATACGCTATCGCATTTTCAACATTTAAAGCGTATAATGCCGTTAACAAAAATCCAATATACTTACCTTATCAAGGTACAGGACTGTCTGTTCCACTTCCACTGTTGGTCCCAGCTTCTGTCTTGGTAGCAGCCACTCGATCACCTCGTTTAGACGTTTTCGATAACGACGCTACTTCTTTTAGCAAACTGGATATCTTGAGTTGCATATTAGAAATCTTCGCTTCATATTCCTTTTCCGATGCTTTCATTTTATTGCGCAACTCGGTCTCCGAGGTGAAATTTTTCGCCTTGAGTTCGGTAATCTGCAATTATCAATGTTGATTAATTATTTTATGTGGTTCGAAAAACAGGAGCTTTTCGGGAATTCTTTACGTACTTGTCTATCTTTTGCTAATAACTGACTGTCTTTTATACTGATTTGCTTTTGAAGATGCGCTATCTTTTCTTTGAGTTGCGTAACCGCCACGACGTGATCCGAACTATTTGGATCATGCGGATCGTGCACGCCAGCCATCCGTACCACTTTCGCGGGAGTGGGACCATTCGTGTCGCCGCCCTCAGATTGCGGCGGCAGCTTTGTCACATCGACCCTATGCGGTCTCTTATTGTGGCCTTTCAATCTACAATGGAAAGTGTGAAACATAAACGAGAATTCCGTTGATGCGTAACCTGCAAAGTTTATCGAACACACATCTTGCATGGATTCGAAAAATTAATGTCCGCGCAATATAAAGGCAAGCGCAAAGTTACCTTGTGAAATTATATATTTTGATAATTACTTTTGTTCCTTGTGCTTTGCAGCTCGCTGTTGTGCCATTTTCAAATGCGCCCTTCTATCTGCATCCGATTGCTTTGTTTTTGCCAATGCTCGTTTATATGACAATGTACAGAGCCAACATAATAATTTACCATCCACCTAAAAATCAAAACATCACCATAATCGATTTAGTAACATTATGGTAGGGTAGAGATTTATTACCATGTACCAACAAGAGAGAGAGGGAGAGAGAGAGAAAGATGTCTTAGCTGTAGAAATTACACTTGATGTTTATTCGCTCTCTCTAAAAAAAGAAAAGAAATTGTGACAGGAAGTCAAATATATCAATTCAGGAAATATAACTATTATAGCAAAATTGCAAAGCTATTCTCGATTATCCAGAATAATAAAACAGATTTTAAAGTATTTGTAAAGTATGGAAAAATATATACGTAAATTTTAAATTTTACATATAAATTTCTTATAATAAAAATATTTATTATTTGAAGAATATTTAAAATAACAAAAAATTTTAAATATATATAATAATTACAAGGAAATCATATATTGCATTATACTTATAGGATGAAATTCAAGTTTATTTATGTGTATCCCTAGAAGGACAAGAGTAAGTTGTGTCAATAAATGTAAAAAGATATCTGAGAAAAAACAATATATATAATCTCGGTATTAAATCTCAATTATAATATAATTATATCACACAGCTAGAGATCATCTCTTTCTCTAGCAATAATGAGAGAAACAAGCAATATTGTTACCTTCTTATCTTCATCCTGTCTATCGAAGGCACACTTCTGCTTGCATTGTTCACATGTAACCGGTGGTCCATAGCGTTTCTCCGAGTTTGTACATCGTTGGCATTTGCTACCAATAAATGCAGCTATAGTATTGCAGTACTCGCAAGCCGATGGCTTCCCATAAGATTTTACATTTTGCTCGCACTTTTTACATATAGTGCTGGTATTGCCTTTTCTGCAAAGTTAAACAGATTAGAATAATGCACAGTTTTATTTATTCTATTTTATATTTTTTATAAATGATATGACTTACATGGTTTGTTGGAATTCTGATCTGCAATATGTACATTTCACCACAGGAAATGCTCCTCTACATTCCTATATAACAACAAATTTTCTTAAATATTATCAGAAGTATAATTGAAAATATTTGTATATGTGTGGGTTCACACATACATATATATAATATTATCATATAACATTCTCTAACAAGATAAAAAATGTTGATATCGTTACAAAAAAATCAATATATGATAAAAAATTTGTATTTTCAAAACATCATTTTCAAATTCTTCAATTTAACAAACATTTGTGTCATCGCGATGGCAATAAAATTCTAAAATAATTCATCGCGAAAAACACACTTTATTAGTGTTTCAAAAAATTTTCTTACACCATACGCGTTTTATTATTTACGTACGAAAACGCAACATGTTTACATACAAATTGAATCTTCTAAGGCTACGAAAATAACGTCTTGTTTCTAGTAAATAATTCGCAATAGATCGTTCCCTTATATCTCGCAACGCAATTTCGCCAAGTTATTTGCAAGGGAGAAATCTCTCTGACAGCCTTTCGATAAAACAGAATCGCCGTGGAAGGTACGCCGTAAAAACGACGCAGAATCGCGAGGAGCTCGCCAGATCCCGCGGAGAAATGGGCTGTGGTTCGTTCGCGTACCTTGCACAACTGCTGCCCGGGCGAGAGATCTTCGAAGGGATGCCTGGAGAAGCACCGGGAGCACGCGAAGAGCGCTTGCATGTTGTTCGCGCTCATCCTTCGGCAGCGAGTCAGCAGTCGCTGGATACGTCACTGGACAACGAGACCGAGGGAGCAGCGGTGGCGGCCGAGAAGAGACGCGATAGCTCGACGAGGCCGAGAACGGCCTCGTGCGCGGTTGTTTCGCGACAAAAAAAAAGCAACAGAAGGAAAAAAATCGACGCGCCAACGCGTAGCAACGCGAAAATTGTCCGGATAGTGACTCTATCCCTCCGAGAAACCGGTTGTTGACTTTCACGTAGCCATCTGCGACCGCCGCGACCGAGCAATATGGCTGCCGTGACAGCGTAAGTGGCCGTTCGAGGGCGCCACTCGCGGCTACGTTCGGATCGTTCGCCATCCGGCGTTCGGAAAATCATCCAATAGTAGTGCAAATTCGATTGCGCCCACGCAAATATTGGAAGAGAAATAAATGGTTTCTTTTCCATATATATAAAATTATTTGATGAAATATTCAATGTCCAATATCGATGTTTAGCTGAATAAATTGGATATTTTATTGATGAAAATATTTGTATTAATTATATATCGAAAGGAAGAAGGAATATTATTGTGCTATTGGATGTAAACGAAAAAGAGAAGGAAAAACCGTTTAATAAAAATACGTTTAATAAAAATACGTACTTATAACACAGCTGATAATTACTCTAATCGTAATTTAATTCCGCTGAGAAACCAATTGTTGATTTTCCATGTGTATTTAATACTTATGATTAATCGTGACAGCTTACCACGTCAGCAGTCCCGCGCTCGGATTGCTATATGACATGAAGTATCTAATTTATGTCATATGAGTGAATTTAGCTGAATATAATTAAATATATTTTATCGATAAAAAAATTACATTAAGGATGTTTTGTACCTATTTTCAAAATATTGAGAATTTAATGAAAATTGTACAGAATGTCCTTACATATGTTTAGAATCTTCAGTACAATTTTTAAATCGACTCACTAAAGCGTTCACAAGTTATAAGGATTTTAATTTATATCGAATTAACATGTGTTCTTATGGGAAACGTATAGCCACGTCGATTCAAATGACAAAAACACATGGAAATAATATTCAGAATTTGTTTAAAATTTGCAAAAGTTTAGATACAGAGGAAATATTTGGTCAAATAATATTATACAAGTACTAATTGGTTAAAAAGATTAAATGTAATTCAATCAAGTTAGCCATGTATCTGTCACAAGGCAAAATTCTCTGCCAACAGTTGATCATTTCCATTAAGAATGTTTGTACAATGTTTTGTACCTATTTTCAAAATATTGAGAATTTAATGAAAATTGTACAGAATGTCCTTACATATGTTTAGAATCTTCAGTATAATTTTTAAATCGATTCACAAGTTATAAGGATTTTAATTTGCACCGAATTAACATGTGTTCTTATGGGAAATGTATAACTATGTCGATTCAAATGACAAAAACACATGGAAATAATATTCAAAATTTGTTTAAAATTTGCAAAAGTTTAGATACAGAGAAAATATTTGGTCAAATAATATTATACAAGTACTAACTGGTTAAAAAGATTAAATGTAATTCAATCAAGTTAGCCATGTATCTGTTACAAGGCGAAATTCTCTGTCAAAAGTTAATCATTTCGATTAACAAAATTCGGAATATTTCAGTAAAAACGCAATAAATATTAAAAAATACATCTCTGCACTGTAGCTAAGATTAAATTGTAATATTCTACACAATTTCTTCCTCAAAATACACCAAAAGTGGATATATTCAATATTGATTTTCAGCTACTTTTTGCTGGGATTGCACATATGTATACAAAACATCCTTAATTGCTTTTAGATACCTAATTTTATATAAAGTAATATTCCTCCGCAGAAAGCAATTTCAATTTCTTCATAAATATCGTTACGTATATATTAATTAATCGTAATTAATTAATTCTTAAAGAATCTCATTCAAATAATTAGCCAGCACCGTATCTCGCGTATCGATCGGTAACGTCAACCTACCACGAGAAGAATTGCTCCCCGTTTGATAACGACGCGAAATTTACCTACGGCTGCGCGTCTTCGATAATTATCTCTTCGGTCTCACCGCGCGACGCGGCCACCGAAGCTAATGGAATCTTCACGATACGGGATCCGTTACGTGGTATTGTCGCGCCGCGCGTCCGTCCAGCGCTATCGCGGGGAGGCGACACTGGAGAGTCGCGATCGCGCGTGGTCCGTGTCTGGGAATCTGTGATTTCGCGAAGACGCTTTCAGCGAAAATGACGTCCCGTCACGAAAAGGAGCGTGCCAAGCAGATCCAGGAGAAATGTCAAAACCTGCTGACGCAGATGCTCCGCGATGAAGATAACAAGTATTGCGTTGACTGTGACGCGAAAGGTTCGTCTGACAATGGGAGAGAGTGTATTATTGCTTGTACATGTGCTTCCCTCCTATACCTTCTCAGCGTCGAGCGTTTCTCGGGAATATTAAACGCTTTGTACGCTGCGTAATTTTTATCGCGTCTCGATCTCTTTTAAAATCGATATTTACGTGTATCAACTTCGATCATAAAATGACGTAGCTCCATAAAACGACGAGGCGTTTATGGATTTTTAATTTCCACGCTGACACGCTGTCAGTGGATTGTCTAACGCGTGACGTTGTCAAGATTCCTTTCAATTTTATTTACGAATACTCCAATTTTGGAACAAAAATTCATCACACATGCATCTCTCTTGCTCTCTTTCTCTCTCTCTCTCTGTCTTTCTCTTTCCCTCTCCTATCTCCTTTTCCCTCTATCTCTTGACGGATAGTTAAGGTGATAAAAAATATACAGTCATTTTTGTGCATGGATATATATATTATCATATACTTGAAAGCAATAAAGCATAATTATTAGTCACAGATGTGTATGTATCCTGTTGTATATAATAGATCAATTAGTTGACACATTATTGATAGTTATTTTTTTTCCATTGAACTTCTAAATAGATTCTCATATTTTCTCAAGATAAGAGATAATATATTTATGATATTTTGGATGAATATATATTTTACAGGACCAAGATGGGCTAGCTGGAATTTGGGCATTTTCTTATGTATTCGTTGCGCTGGTATACACAGAAATCTTGGCGTGCATATAAGCAAAGTCAAGTCTGTTAATTTAGACACATGGACACCAGAACAAGTAGTAGTATGTAATATACATTTTAATATATACTATGTAATATATACATTATTATATATGTATTTTATATGTATATATTATATGAATCTTGTATAAAATACACGCACAATTGCTTTTATAGAGAAATTAATATCAATTTTTAATAACATGCAAATTTTAAAATTTTAATCTTTGTCTTTATATTACTTTTCATTAAATTATATATACATATATGTATAATTGTATGAAAAATACTATAAAACCAGAAATTAAAATGCTTAAAATATAAATATTAAAAATTAATTTAGATATTAATTTTTCTACAAAAACAATTTCTTATGAAAGCAATAAAAATATAATGAGTTTAGTTTGAGAACTTTAATAGCATCAATATAATGAAATAGTTTTATTTATTTTTTGTGTATTTTGTATATACACATACACATATACATATAGATAATAGATTATATTCTTCTATATACTGTATGTATAGGTTTTCCCAATATAAATTCCTTAGATAAATAAATAATATATACATATTTTACAAATAAAATTAAAAAATATTTCATCATATTGAAACTGTTTTATTCTATTTTTATCAATCTTTGTAAACTTTATACTATGTACTAATATACTAAACATTTAATATTACACTTATATATAATTTATTAGGATAAAAATCTAGGATAAACATATAACTTTCTTTAATAAATTTCTAGAGCTTACAACAAATGGGCAATTCTCGAGCCAGAGCAGTCTATGAGGCAAATCTTCCTGATAGTTTCCGAAGACCACAAACAGATTGTAGCCTCGAAAGTTTTATTCGGGCAAAATATGAACATAAAAAATATATAGCAAGAGAATGGGTGCCACCTCCTTTACCAAAAGTATGACTGTTATAACTACTTCAATATTTGCTTCTCAAAATATAATTTTAATTAAAATATAAACATTAAAGTACATGTATATAAAGAAACTTGTTTTGCAACTAAGATTTTACTTTGTGAATTGAATTTTTTTTTAGCAGTTAAATTATCTCTTGCTTACAATAAATTGTATGTATGAAAAAATATTTGTGTGCAATATTAATTTTATGTTTACAAGATTATCGTGATATGCTTGTTAAATAAGAAATATTATTAACATAGGTTAATTGGGACAAAGAGCTCGATGAAGAAGCTGAAAGACAACGCAGACGAAAAAAGGAAAGTTCTGAAGCAACCACTGTACTCCCACTTGTAAAAAAACCGGAAGTAGTGCCTCAATTGCCAAAACCTCGCAGTTCCATCAGTCCTAAACTTGGCAGAACAAAAGAAAACTCTGCAATTTTGGATCTCTTAGGTCTTGGTATGTTTTTCATCTCTTGTATAATCTGTGAGATATAAACATCTTATTTACATCAATCTAACAGATGCACCAGCAACTAACCAAATAAATGCAAATGGTTCTGGGGATGATGTATTTTCTTCCTTTTTGTCTGCCCCACCTGCTTCAACTGCTACAACTGGAAATGATATTTCTAATGAAAGTAAAACAACTGCTACTATAAGTAAAAGCGAAGAAGAAAGTTTCTTTGAACAGTCAGCGCCGCTATCTCAAGAAAAAAGCAAAATGACAAAGGACAGTATTTTAGCATTATATGGTACACCAAGTCATCAATCAGCACTTTATGGTGTTCCAGGTAATGTACATGCCATGAAATAATTTGAAAATTAATATATTAAATATTATATAAATGTTATATTGTTATGTACACATATTTCAGGGGGAATGTATCCTCAACATTCCATACCATATAAACAGCAAATATCAAATGTGGGTACATTTGGACAACAAAACTCTTTGGGTCAAATCGGTCAACTTCCTACACAAATGCCGATTACAAATCAGATGCTTGTCAATCAAAATCAAATTGTAACAAATCCTAATTCGATAGGTGCTGTAGGCGCTAATCCTTTAGGTTATATAGGGCAAATAAATCAACTAAATGGTGTACCAAATGCTGCTATTACAATGCCACCTCAAATGGTACATAAAGTTTTTGCATCTTTATATATTAATAATTATCATTGTCAATCCTTTTTTTTACATTTGAAATTTTCAACTTACTTTGATTTTGTAGATGATGCAGTTAGGACAAACTAGTATTCCTAGTAATAATGGATGGAGTGGTATGTTAACACAGAATATTCAACCAGCTCCTGGCAGCAATCCTTTCTTCAATTTAACAACACAGCAGCAACAAACTGCTGCATTTGCCACTCAAGTATGTAAATTTCAACAAATATATATTTTAAGATAGTCTGCCTTGTGTGTGTATGTGTGTATATGCTCTGTGTGTGTGTGTGTGTGTATGCGTGTGCATGTATATGCTAAATGAATATACAAATAAGTAATAAATTTTCATCTATGCATTATTATGTCATAATATTTTTATTTGTATACAATTTGTATCATTTTTTTATATCTATCATAATATTTCAGTTGCCACAACAAATGTCACAAGTGTCCCTGGGTGATATGAATTTTTCCTCTGCGACAGGCAAACCTGCCAATACTGCCGCGTTACCCGGGCAGACTCTTTCCACCAATTTGTGGCAGTAAAAAATATTGCAAATATTGTGAATTTTTGTTATCATTCAATGTTGTATACTAATGTTGACAGTCTATTATCCATCATAATAATAATTCCATGTCTTTTCGTCGGATGTTGCTTCAGATAGTAATAGAGCCGATGGAAACACAAAAATGGGAACACAAAAAAGAAAACTATTCGAATACTGTTTCATAATTTGTGAATGTGTATAGTGCTTTGAGTTGATAAATATTTTTCTTCAAAAGCCTGTGCTAGCTTTTAATGTTATTGTTGGTGAAAAAAATTGGAATAAAACGAACCTTTGACTGATTGTAAGAGGAGTTATTTAGTTAGCGACACTAAATGTGTACCTTATGGTACAAATTGTGCTGTTAAAATAAGAGCTTTTTGTAATTGCAATTAAAGTATATGCCAGGGTCCATTTTCATCAAAGTATTAATTCAAATTGGTGACGGAAAATGATATAATTTTAGCTCAGATTTCGTTGCTATTCATGCTTGACAAATGTGTTCGTGAGTTTATTCACAAAAATGTAAATCCTGCAAGGGAGAGAATGACATAGCATAAAGCATGTATTCTCATATCGGATAGCATCGAAAATTTAATTTGTTAAAATTATATCAAGCTCTGATTCAAATAGAAATATATATACATGCATATACGAGTTTTATCAGAGATGTAAAAAGACTTAGATCTTCAACGTATTTTTAAGGTACTATAATTGACACATGTGCAATATGTGTCCACATACTGTATTATTGATGAATAAATGCAAAATGACAAATACATGATATCACACATGTATTTTAGTTTAATAAAGCATAGAATATTACTATTGTGACAATGATTGAAATAGTTTTTTCTTGGTAATTAATTACTACAAAATATTTATGAATTTTTAGAAAAATTCATAAATTATATACATTAATGCTAACAATACTGCAATGTTTTAATTTATAATCATTTTAAATTACTTAAAAGGTAGATTAGAAATTGAAAAATCAAAAAATATATAATATTTCTATTCTTATAAAACCTATTTTATTATACATAATTTTGACTGATTAAAAACAACAATTATGTAATTAGAAATTTTGGTGTATAATCAAGTTAATTATTGTTAATAAATAATCGTTAAATTTCAACTGGAGAGAGAGAGAGACAACATAATTACATAGTTGCAGAGAACAAATTTTATTTATTTCCATTTATTTCTTCTCTGAAGTCGAAGTTTTAAAATTCACCGCGCAAAATTTTTTCAATCAATTTCAAACCAGCCCGCGTCTTGTTATCGAACAGTAGCGACTCACCGGAAGTCAACGGAGATTTCGCGCCATCTGCGTCGCTTTATTTATGCGCAACCTCCTTTTGCGTTAGCACGTTTATTAGAAAGCCACGTGAGAAGCGAATATGGATAAACCAGTCGTTTTGGCACGCGTTATCAAAGTCCTGGGTCGCACTGGTTCGCAAGGGCAGTGCACCCAGGTGAAAGTGGAGTTCCTGGGCGAGCAAAATCGGCAGATCATCAGGAACGTGAAGGGACCAGTACGAGAAGGCGACCTCCTAACCTTGCTCGAGTCTGAACGTGAAGCGAGAAGACTTCGATAATGCGGAACAGCAGCTTTATTCAATATTGGAAAAACGGTCGCCAGCCACTACCGGACTTCACCAGCTATGGGTTTTATATGAATCTTCTGCGGATCCTCGATCGTCGGTGAGGACACTTCTGTCACATGTCGAGAGGATATCACCGATACTATCATGCGAGATAAAATCGTACATTCTGCTCTTACAAACATTCCTAACGCAATAAGAATTCCACAATTTTTTCAATAAATCTCGGCTGGTAACCACAAATCTCTCAGTGTTGTTCTTGCGTTCTTCCTCATCACGATTGTAATTTGTAAGAACTAGCGATAAATCATATAATCAATATACATTTTATTCTTTGTTAGATAACAAGATATAAATGCATTAAGTACAAAATTATTGTGTAAATTTTTGCATTTGATATAAAACAATTGTATATTTTGGAGCAATGAGAATTATAGAAAGATATATGTGCAGCAAATTTGATATTTCAGAAAGTAGGAAACTATGAAATAAAATTATATATATTTCAAGTAATTTTTACTCTATTCTGAAATGCAAAAAAATATCCTACTTTTTATGTTATTAAAAATTTCTTATGTTTTCTTTTCTTTTTCATTTTAATGTTAAACATTTAAAAGACAAAAATATTAGAAAATATAATAATATATTTAAGATACAATGCATATGCGTGTAAATCTTATAAAAATTAAGTGACTCATATTTATATACACATGTCCATATTGCTAAAATACAGCATTACATTACAATAATCATATATCGTAAATTATACAATTTGGGATAAACTAGAAATAATAATATTTCCAAATTTACGAGAACTGTTATATTCTTCTTCGTTTCGGAGGAGGTGTGTCACGTGGACTCGAAGAAGCTTTAGAAGAACTGTCCACACTTTGTCTAGTTGGTCTCTTTGGAATTCGTTTCAAAAGTTCGCGACCAGATTCGGAATCCTTGCGTTCCTTTTTCCCATTTGATGCTTAAAAGAAATATAATGGCAATTTGTGAGAGATTCATTAATTAAAATAGGCCACTAAATAATTGACATTAAAATATCATTTACCACTTTCTTCTGAATCATCTTTGCCTTTTGAGCGACTCTTTGAAGATTTATGTTCTTTCCTTGTGTCTTTCATATCCCTAAACTTATCTTTCTTGAGCTCTATATCTTTTACATATTTCTTCATTTCTTCCTTCTTTTTTTCCATATCTTTGCTTCCTTTAAAATCACGCAATACACTGTCTTTCTTTAAACTTTCCTTATCCTTTTCTTTTTTAATCTCTTTGTATTTATCTCTTTGATCCTTCAGTTTTATTTCTAATTCTTCTTTTTTTCGAGGCTTTCCTATAAATTCTGTCTCTGGTAAAGAAAAATCCATCTCTTGACTAGGAAAAGGTAAATCTTCCATGTCATCCTATTAAAAAATTTAATTTATATATATAATATATAATATTACATGTGTAATATTATATGACTTGGAAAAAAATTAGAATTCTTTCTTCTAGTGATAAATATTTATATACATACTTTTTTATCAAAATTTTTTTTATAAATCCAGATTTTTTAATCATTGAAAAAAATAAATTCTAAACGTCTTTATTTAGTTTTATTTCTATACGTTATTGCTTACCAAAGCCATAAGATCGTACATAGATTCCAAATGATCCCAAATCATCTTCAACGGCACATCCTTGTGAATGGCAGCACGAAATTTCTCCCATATGCACACCATGTGAAAATATTTATTAATACCTTGAGAACAATTAATTAAATTGCAATTAAGCATATACTAATAATAGTAAATATAACCTTAAATAGCTGCGCCGGCTTTTGTGTCTTACCGACTGGTTTGTGTCCATTCATGGAGAAAAAAAGCTGAATCTCATTCTCCACGTTCCAATCTATCTCCTCAAACAAAGATTCCGATTTTTCTTTTACGGCCATTTTATATATAAGCCTGAATACTATAAACTTGAATGAAGCAACTCTAGTCTGAATATCAATTACTTGCGATCACTATCACAATCACTCTGTCATTCGATTGAATGATCAATTCACGTATCGCTCTTTCCTTTCTGGATTTCCGTCTTCTTCTGGGAAATAAAGTACCAGATCGATTTATTTATCACATTCTTATGATGCTTATATTGACATGCGTGCGTTGAAAAAAATACGATAGATTGTTCGGAAAATTTAGGTTTATTTACAGTGACGATATGCAAACAGAGGGAGCTTCCCAGCAAAGAGGAGTGAGCGCAGTGTCACGCCAGAGAGAAGATTGAGAGATGTCATGCCCTGCTTTAGATCTCTGAAAGCGATACTCCCTCTATGAACATTGAAAACATGGACAACTACAATGTAATTTGCAATTAACAATTACATTTTTTTTTTTAAACAACTATGTGTTTTCTTTACACCAATTGATTCCTCTCATTATTTTGTACATAAAAGTATTAAGGTAAGATAATCGAAAAATGAATATTTTACTAGATATTTTATGGTTTATGCAAAATTAAGAAATTATTTCAAGCCTCATAACTTGAAAAGTACTCAATGAAGAAATACTTTATTATAGTGTTTTGGAAAGCTCTCGAGATAAGCTACATGAATATGTAATAAAAAATAGAGCGTTCCATTTAAGAAATTGACGGTGATCTTTACGTGACTTTCAAATGACTCTCCCATGTCAAATCATTGCACTATCTGATGGCCCCCTTCAAGCCATACAACTTTTGTTTGAAACATTTCTTTCTAAAGTGCATAGTGCATTTATAAAATATTCAACCAGTCCAGGACTTTTGGGACACTCTGTATATGCATAAAATACAAATTTCGTAAGATCAAAAATTAAAATAATGAAAAATCGTGATATGACTATTGTTTAATTAATAATTAATTTATACTTGCTTTTTAGAAAACTTTAATCAAAAGATTTGTTAATTATAATAATTTTAACGAATTATGTTGCAATATTAGTCACGATCGAGTTGGAAAAAGAATTTGATAATATACGAAGCGTTTCGCACACTACTACTTTATTATTCGAGTGTGTCGTGCGAATGATGACAAAGCTATGACATATATAGCTCGCTTGCTATACGTCATCAAACATGATATTATTGATAATTCTCTGCCAAAATATTTTACATACTACATATACACGCGGAATTTTAAATTATAGAGATATATTTTATTTTAAATTAATTATTAAACCGAAGAATTATTTTCCAAAGTCAAATTTTATAATATTTAATTTTGCATTTTAAAAGATTGACTTAGAGCAAACTAAATAAATAACTAAATAAATAAATAAATGATGTTGAAAAAAAGAAAAAAGAGACACATAAATAAATAAATAAATAATAGCGTGAAAAGAGAAAAATACTAATACTTTTATATAATAAATTATTATTACTTAAATTATTTATAGTTCTATTTATATTATTGTTATTTATATTATTTATATTATTTATATTATTTATATTATTATTTATATTATTTATATTAGAGGGACATATGTGTTACCCTCTGAGAACATTCGTAGACATTGGCTTTGTAGTTCATGTCCACGTTTTTAATGTCCACAGAGGGAGTATCGCTTCCAGGGAGGGAGTATCACCTAAAAACGAGTCACGACATCTCTCAGTCTTCTCTCTGATGTTAACATTGATTATCGTGTGTAGATGTGCTATATCGTAAATTTCTATCCGTATAAAAAGTTTCTTTCCTCTTTCAACTGTCTTAATATTCAAATAATACTTAATATACTTATAATGCTTTCCAGATACAATTCAAAAATTCAAATTTTCTATTGTTCTGTATCGAGTCTACCTTTTCTAACAATCAACAGTCATCAGGCCTCTTGGTCTAGGGGTATGATTCCTGCTTTGGGTGCAGGAGGTCCCGGGTTCAAATCCCGGAGGGGCCCTGTTTTTTTTTGTAAAAATAATTTATATTTTTTTTTATACAATCATTATAAAAATTATTATACAAAATAAACTACTAATAAAAATAATATAAATGTGTAAAAAAAACTGCAAAATCATCTTCTGTCCATCTTTGTTTATAAAATCGACGCTTTTACGTACAGTTCATAGTTATAGTTATTATTCAGTTATAATTAACTATCTTAATTGACTTTTTAATTTGCAAATTATCGGAAAAATGTAATTTATTTCTTATCTAATTTAATTTATCTCTTATCTCTAGTTACTAGCACGCTGATAGAAATATGTAAGATAAAATGTGATGTAAGACAAAAATATGACCCGAGCATGCCAAGTTTTTGTAAGTCGTTTTGGTCTTAATTTTTTTAGTTCCAAATTTACTTGGAACTTATTTTTGAAAATCATTTTCATTTTGTCGAGAATCTAATACATAAATGTAAGATTGAATTTGTGACAAACATTTCAAATTACAAATCCCTATCAATTCCTTCAATGTACTTGGCTAATTAATTATTGATTTCATATTTATGTTTTGATTTTTTTTAGAAAAATTATATATATGTTTTGAGGGAAAATTTTTATAAATCATTTATTACAAGAGTCATTTTTTATTAAACGTTTTGTTACATAGGAGGTGGAATATTCTTTATGTACTTGGTCTATTTTTTTTTAATATAATTATATAAATAATAAAATTACATATATTTTTTGAGGGAACATTTTTAGAAATTATTTATCATAAGGGTAATTTTTTATTTATAAATTTTGTTACATACAAGATGGAATATTCTTTATGTACTTAGCGTATTTTTTAAAATATAAATAATAAAATTATATAAATAATAAAATTACATATATTTTTTGAGGGAAAATTTTTAGAAATTATTTATCATAAGAGTAATTTTTTATTTTTTATTTATAAACGTTTTGTTACAAGGTGGAATATTCTTTATATACTTGGCGTATTTTTTTTTAACCTTGGTAAGGTTTTTTTCGGAGGGATAAAAATCCGAGAACGCGTGCATTTTTCTCGCGTTTGAATGTCGCGCGTCGCGACGACAGCGCCACCGTTCGGCGCAAGGCAGTAGCGCGGGGGGCGCATGCGCGAGCTCCTCGATGGTCGGGCAAAAACACAGCTGGTCTATGATCCTCGAAGCGAGCTGACGGTCGACCGACTATCAATGTGATTTCCGCGAATTTCTACCGATCTGTCCGGAGTTGGCCGGAGCTGGCCGGAGCCTGGCCAACGTACACGTTCCGGGGAGCCTAGAAAAATTCGTCGATCGCGATTATCGCGTGGTGAACAGTGCGGATGTGCGATGTAGCCTGGAGAGGAACGCGGGTCAGCACGAGGATTTTTCGCTTTGGCCCTGGATAAACAAAAGAGTGCCCCGTCTCGACGCATTCCTTCCGTAAGTTTTCCGCGCCTCCCACGCTTAAATAGCCGCGTTCGCGGGCGAGATTCCTTTCTAACCTTTTGTTCGATTGGACTCATCGGCGGGATTTAGGTCGCGTGACACGAGATCCCGTTTTATGAGTCTCTACCTCGGGGCTCGAGGTCTACCGCCGCGGCCGCGATGCGTCATGCCAAAAATTCCGAGAAAAGTCGAGGAAGGATAGTTCGCGCGTGACAATCCGTGCTCGAGAAATGCCTACCGAATTTTTGCGTCGCATGAGCGCGATTGTAAAGGAACGTCGGTTCTCGGGCTACCCTTTAACCTCATGTTTTTCAACCTTGCGCTGCATAAAACCCCGCTGTTTCGCGAGCTTATCTCGAGCGTTCCGTGAGATACGATATGCACTTGGATCTTTCCCTCTTACATTAGAATATAGTTGAAGTAGCACGTTTAATTTCTCTGAAGCTTGCTGGGGAATAATTTTAATTTTTTATAGATAAAAAGCTGTTATCTCGCTATAACTCGTTTCATTTTATACGATAATCAAGAATAATTCACGAATTAAATCTAATAAATTGAAGAAAAAAAGATGCTTGCTGAGGAATAATTTATAATTTTTTTATAAACAGCTGTTATCTCGCTATAACTCGTTAAATTTTATACGATAATCAAGAATAATTCACGAATTAAACCTAATAAATTAAGGAGAAAATAAATTAAAAATAAATTAAAGAAAAAATAAATTGAAGAAAAAAAGACGCTTGCTGGGGAATAATTTATAATTTTTTATAGATAAAAAGCTGTTATCTCGCTATAACTCGTTTAATTTTATACGATAACTTAATCAAGAATAATTCACGAATTAAACTTGATAAAGGAGAAAATAAATTAAAAATAAATTAAAGAAAAAATAAATTGAAGAAAAAATAAATTGAAGAAAAAAGACGCTTGCTGGGGAATAATTTATAATTTTTTATAGATAAAAAGCTGTTATCTCGCTATAACTCGTTTAATTTTATACGATAACTTAATCAAGAATAATTCACGAATTAAACTTGATAAAGGAGAAAATAAATTAAAAATAAATTAAAGAAAAAATAAATTGAGGAAAAAATAAATTGAAGAAAAAAGACGCTTGCTGGGGAATAATTTATAATTTTTTATAGATAAAAAGCTGTTATCTCGCTATAACTCGTTTAATTTTATACGATAACTTAATCAAGAATAATTCACGAATTAAACCTAATAAATTAAAGAGAAAATAATTTAAAGAAAATAAATTAAAAATAAATTAAAGAAAAAATAAACTAAGGAAAGACCTTGCATATCCTAAAAAAAAATCGAATGTCTCACACACACACACACACATATGTACATCATAAATATACATGTACTGAAAGTTTTACGTATAATTCTTTCTGTGTATATATATATATGTTGAATATAATTATACCGTTGCAATAAGTGAGAGAATTTCGATATGATAATTATTAAAAGAGTTGTTTTTCAAGATGAAAAAAAATCAAGAATATTTTGAATAATATATTTTGCTTAAATTTAGAATGTAAATTTTTACTTTCCCTGTTACGAAGCTGTTCTCTTTCTCAGATAATTATGTGCATGATAATTCTATTGAACAAACATCATTTCATTAGTTACGTGTTTATCTCAGGATTTCAAGCCTTCGACGTATGTAAAACGATCGCATGTGTGTCTCCAAATAAATCGACAAGACTGGAGTAATTATCCGAAAATTTCCCGAAAGAAAAACTTATCTTGGTAGTAATAATGTATTACTCGCGTGTATTACGAATTATATCTCTCTTACATGCAAAGACGATGTAACCGCGCCGATCATTGCAGCATTAATTGTTATGCCAATTAACATAATTGGCCCACGTAAGCATCCATTAAGCTAGGAATAAAATATCCCCCTTTATTGCAGCGTATATTTACGCACCAGTAAATCGAAAGAAATTAATCACCAGTTTTAGGAACTTGATACTATCTGGCAAATTATGCATACTAGCTAAATTAATATACTTTTTTCCTCAAACAGTCGCATATTTCTATAGATTGCGATCTAAAATTATCGTTGTACGCGGATCATTATTAGCCTCACGAGACATCCCTCTTGATTTTGTAACCTAACTCGTCTTGGAAAGTTTCGATTATTGCCATTAAAATTGAAAGTCACGTATATAGCTGCACGTTTCTTGAGCAGTCGTTTCATTATCGCGAGTCGTGACAGTTACGTAATCTACGTTTCTCGTAGACGAATGTGAGCTGTGTTTCTTAATTTTTCGATTGTCGAAAAATTTGACATATTTGTTAAACCGGCATGTCTCGGCTACACTGAGGGAAAAATTATCTTGAAATAAACAAATTTTAGTCAACTCAAGAAAGCTATTTATTCGGTGGGTACTAATCACGTATTTACTTGTATTCAAAACGTCTGTTTGCTTAAGTTAAGTATTTATTTACATATGTTTAAAAAAATATAATTTTTAATTAAATATTTTTATATTTTAAGTTAAAAAATATTTATTAAAATGCATTTTTTATTCCCGAAAATTTAAAATTTTAAAAAATAATATATTTAATTTAATAAATTATAGTATATATTTTACTAAAATAGTATTTAAATATAAAAAATATATAAATGAAAATAATGTACTTAATATAACATGCATATTGAATTAAAATAAAATGCTTTTGCTTAAATTAAATAAACAATTCCTTCCATTTAAAACAAAAGTTTTAAGAAAATAAATTTATTTGATTTAAAAAAATTTTTCCCTCAGTGTACGTAAGGAAATAATAACGTTTTTTTTCCGAAGCGGCAATATTGGAATTGTACCGCGACAGAAATCATCTTGTTTAAAATTACATTTCAAACAGTGGGAGAGATTCCGAGATGTGTATCGCGATAAAATTTGCAATAGAGAAGAAACGGTAAAAAATGACGTAAAATTCACACGAAGTGAAATAATGTATATATCTCTCTCTCTTTCGTATATCTGATATCAAAATATTAATGCGCGCTTCTCGATTAAATGAAATGAAATTCTTCCGAGCCCCACAAGAAATATTCCATTGAGTTTTACGTTTTTACACATTTATCGTGGTAATAAATTTGTTTATCGACCAGCTAGAATATTAATATTTATTCCATTTATATCTCTGAATCGACACTTCGGACTTTCGATACGATATATGCGTATGTACGCACATTTGAAAGTGCAAGTTTGCGATAATTGACAACTTCCCCGTTCGAGTGTAAAACGAGGATAAAGTCACACGTGCGACATCGCTTATCGAGAATATTTTTTATTTGTAATTTTCCTCCACATTTCATAATCTCTCATGTTGTGACGTGATGCAAGCTACTCGAAAATAAGCTCTCCATTCGTTATAGATCCATTCTCGTTAGGTTCGTGCTGTCTTCTCGGCATGAGGCCTTTCAAGTGCGTATATAAGCGAGAACCCACGCGTTGCGTTGGATCTTTATTTGGGTCTGGTTATAAAGTATGCTCGAGTGACATTTTGCAGAGAGATAATAGCAATTTGAATTTTTCTTTTTACACAGTAAAAAATAAAATGTTAATATGACATTTTTCCCAGAAAGTCGACTCTAAATTTTAAATTAACTCATTCGTCGTATGTTACTTCTTGATAAACTAAAAATGTTAAATAATTGACAATATTTTACATTTATTTTTGTTATTGTGACTTTAAGTGTAATGTAAAAATAACATACAAATTAATTAAAAATTACATCAAAAAATAGTTACAATAACTCGTAAAAATTATTGTAGGACATTAACATATAATAGTAATTATTTTGGCTTAAATTATTTGTAATAGAAACATTTGATTTTAGTAAATTTGATTATTTTGTATGTCAAAGTTTTCAAAATTATTTGAAGATTTACTTAAACTTTTCTTAGAATGTTTGAGACATGTTGATTGTTTAAAATAATGATGTCAAAAATACTCAAAATAATATTCCATTTCTAAGAGGCATATACAAAGTGTCGAGTTATGAAGTTGACATAAATGTAACACATGTTATAAAAATTATAAAAATAATAACACACAAATAAAAATGTTATAAAAATTATAAAAATAATAATACACAAATAAAAACGTTATAAAAATAATAACAAATTGTTATATGTTAATTTTACATTGAAGTACTAATCAAAGTGTGGTAACACAAGAAAATTTTAACATATGGACGCACAATTTTTTACTGTATATTAGTTGCCATGCACGCTTTTACTTCTCATCAAGGTTAATTTATAAATGAAGTAATTATATATCTATATATATCTATATATCTATATAATATATTCTAAGAATGAGTATAGCGAAATCTTTCGTGACGTATCGGTTAGGACGTAGATTTGCCTGGCACCATCAAATCACGATCAGAAATTAACGCTGAAGCAATATTATACAAAGAACTTTTTGGACGCCATCCAGTATCATTAAAATTTCTTAATAAAACACATGTGTACGATGGAAAGATGAGCAAAGACAGAAATACGTTACTTGAAATATTGAAACTGAAAAATTGCTTTTCGATCATTCCTATGACGTAACAAATATAAGAAAGTAAATATAATAAGTCATATAATAAAGTAAATATAATATAATAAAATTATATAATAAAAAATGTGAAACTCGTGTATAATTAAATTTTATTTGTTAAATCTTGAAGATAGAAAAAACATGAAATTTTCATGATTCAAATCGATTAAATTATGACACGTGTCATTAAAGCAATAAATTTTTTTTATTCGGATTGTGATGAAACTCTTGTAGAGAATGCAAGTGCGCACGTATTAGTCATTATTATAAGATTGACTTATATAACTCGAATCATAATATCGCATTCTATTTTTCTGCATTGCAGTACACATTTATATTGTTACCTGATTTCAACGTCAAAACTTTACCAGAGCACGATACTTTCGTCTGCATAAATGATTATATAAGATATTTAAATA